ACCCTGCCATCCTGCAGGGACTGCTGTCCTGTCCTGGCCGGGCCGAGGCCTGGGAAGCTATGTGTGAAAGCCACAAAAACCAGCGGGGAGAGGCCGGGTTGAGAGGAGGAGAGGGACACAGCTTCTGCCATTCCCAACCCCCCTTCACGCTGCCCTGGCGTCTAAACCCGGGCCCCTTCTCGTAGACCAACTCCCGAGGTCTCCACCAGTCCTGCTGCCGGCTTCACCAGAAGCAGCCCTGCAGGTGTGGGGCAGGGAAGTCTCCTCCCAATGGAGGTCCCAGCCTGTGGCCCAGGTCCAGGTAGGAGTCGCCTGCTTCCTTCCACGACTAGGTCCTGCAGTGGCCTGTGGTGCCGGAGGGCAGGTGGCCCCCCCTTGCCTTCAGGGAGGGTGGCTGGCCCCATCCCCACTGCCACCCCAGCCCCACCCACTGTTGGAAGAGGGATGGGCGCACGAGGTGGTGCCCAGGGTGGGCACTGCTGCTTAATACAAGCCACACCTGGGGCAGCTGAGCCCTCGAAGGCTGCGAGTTTGCCAAACACAGGGAGGCCGGGCCCCTGGTGAGCTTGGCCGAGGCCCAAGGCCCTGGTGCCAGGATGCAGGCAGCCTGGGGCACAGCTCTTCCCACAGTCTGGCTCCTGGGTGTCCTGTTTGCTCCACACCAAACCGCAGCGAGGGTGTGAGGGCTCTGCCTCCTGGGGCCAGGTCCCCCCACTCGGGAGGGGGGTGTTGGGTGGCACCATCGGAGGAAGTACAGAAGGCCAAGGCCAGTGGGGTCTAGAAAGGGCGGCGCTGGCCCTGCTGGCCGCTGCAGGGCCCCCACTGTTTCTCTCCCACTCAGCCTTGTGGCCAGACCCCAGGTCCCAAGGAGTGACAGGGGCTTCCGCCCATCTTTTGTCCTTGTCCAGTCATGTAAATAATGTGCTTTTTCCTTTTTTTTAACCAACTGTGGTTCCTCAGCTAATTGCATTCCCTACCTAGGCAGAGACTGTCCTATGCCTTGAGCTTCCAAACAAGACTCAGACCACGACTCAGCCACCGTATTTATGGAATGGCAAAATAAAGCCCAAACCCATCGGACTCTGCGCCTTTCTGCTCCTCTCATGTCCTCGGGGTCAGGGCTGGGCCGGGGTGAGGAGGGGAGGAAGAGGCTGCTGGCCCCAGGGCCCCAGGGGCTGGGGCCGCCCCAGAACCTGAGCCTGCAGCTGAGGGCGGGTGGGTTGGAAAGGGCCCGTGGAGAGAGAGAGATCAGGGACAGAGGTTGCGGACAAGGTGGTCAGAAGATCTCTCCCAAGCGAGTCCGCCCAGGGGCCCACAGAGGGTGGGTGCCTCCCCTGCCGCCCCCAACACATTCTTTCACCAGCACCAAGGGTCAGAGCTACTTGCTGGGAGGCTGCTGTTCTCATGGAGACAGAGATCAAGGCCTGGGAAAGCCCTCATGGTACGTGTTTGGGGTGCAGGTGAGAGGGGCCTCACCCCAGCACACCCCTGCTTTGGGCTCCCCTCCTTCCCAGTGAGCCCTGAGCCTCGTGAAATGACCATCCCAGGCAAGAGAAGAAGGCTTCTGGAGACGTCCCCAGCCCCCACCACGCCTCCCTGGCCACAGCCCCCATTCCTATTCTAAATCTTGAATCTTAAGGGAAAAAAAAACTCTGATTAAATCCTTTCCCAAAGGATTTATTAAAACACAGAAAACCAAAACATACACACAGAGTACAAAGTAAAGGTGATTGTGTTGTTCGGTCTCTGTCCGGCCTCCCGCGGGTGAAGACCGGACAAGCCACGGCTCACAGGAGAGCTCGGCTTCCAAAGCTCGACCCCACCCCCACCAGGGCCACCCTGGCTGGGACTCCTGACGTGCCCTGCACCCAGCCCAGGACCCTCCCTTTGCCAGCCTGGGGCTGTGCCTGGGAAAGGGGTCGGCCCCCTCTTAGCCGGGCCTGGGCCAGTGGGGTCTGCTCCCTCCATACCCCTGAACTCAGACCCCACAGGCCAGTGGGACCCCTTCCTCCTCTCCAGGGTGCTTGGGCTCCAATCTCGGCTTGAGGAATTCAGGACACACACACACACCCAACGGGCCCTTTCTGGGTTATCGCACCTAAAAAAATACTTTGTTAAAAAAAAAATCTGAAAATTAAGAAAAAGAAAACAAAAACAATGCCAATGACTGGGCTGACCACCACAACCTGTAAACTTCCAGACACGCAAAACAGGCAGGAGGCGGCCTCCACAACTGATGCCGGGCCTGCCACAGGAGAGCCCTGCAGGAGGGGCCGAGGCCAGGTCACCAAGATGGCATGCCGGCCTCGGCCCCCACCCACGCCCCGTCCCCTGCCCACAGACCCTGGCACACACTGGAGGCTCCAAGTGACCCACAGTTGACCAACTCCACCGGCTTCCAGCTCCCACGTCCCCAAGCCCCCTCTCCAGTCCACCTCCTTGGGCCCTCAAGTGTCCCAGGATGACAGGAGTTGCCGGTGAGGGCTGCCGGTGTCATGGGGCCAAGGCTTGGTCAGCCCCTGACTTGGGCGGGGGAGCACCCGGGGAACTCTGAGAAGGCAGCCCCAAAAGCAGGAGGACTTCCATCGTTTGGGGCAGGGAAAGTCCAGCCCGCCCCTGGCAAAAGCCAAGTTTGCAGGAAACACAGGAGCTTTGGAAGGTGGCTTTCAGGAGGATGTTGCTTCCGCCTCAGGCGTGTATGAGGACCCCACAGACCTGCTCACTCCACCCCGAGTCACCTGAGGCCACGGGGCAATGCCTTCCAAGACTGTGGCCCAAAGGTGGCTCTGCAGAAGCCCTACTCAGCATTGGTTTAAATAAAGTGGCTGGAAATCTCCAATCACAGACTGGTACTTTGGGCTCACACTCATGCCCCAGGCCCCTAATTCTGCCAGCAGCAAAAACCAAACCCAGCCCAGAGATGCCAAAGATACCAATACCACCATCACCACTTTTGGCAGAGATGATTGACAAGCCAAGAAGACACTCGAAGATCTTTTCTCCTCTCCAAACTGGTCAGCCCCAAACCCGCTCTGACTCCAGCAGCCCACCGCTCCCAGGCCACCAGGCTGCCAGCCACAGAGCGCACCACCTCTTCTGGACCAGGCAGTGCAGGGGGCCTGGGCCCGAAGGAGCTCTGGCCAGGCTTTCCTAGGTGCCCAAGTCTAACCAGGCAGAGGAGAAGGGAGCCCTGGCGAGGCCTGGGAGGGAAGCGGAGAGGAAGGGACAGCAAGGCTGCCTGGGAGGAGGGGCTCACAGGGGAGGGGCCATCAGCCCTTGGGATGGAGACACGGACTCCTGCCCTGACTCCCACACACCTCCAGGCCTGCCACTAGGGACCTATCTGCTGTGGGCCAAGGGAGGTGGGCACTGCTCCCAAAGAGGGCCAAGCCAGTGCTGGCCACTGCTTGTTTGGGGACAGGGGCACAGGAGTGAGCTTATGGCAGGTCACCTCGCCTGTGACCCAAGCCAGGAGCCTTTGCTGGGAGGCACGGCAAAGCACACAACGCGCACGTGGAGAAACCACAATGGCTCGTTCAGGGCTTCCCTTCCTGGAGGCAACGTTGGGTGCTGCCCACGCATGGCGGAGTCCGGGCTGCATGTGAGCCTGCTGACAATCATCTCCACCCCCGCGTTCTCCCCACTATGCCCAACTGCAACCTCAGGGTCGGGCTGGCCTTGCAGACCTGGATCCAGCCTGGAGTGTGGGAATGCACCAAGATGGAGGAGTCTTGGGGTCCCACCCTCAGAGAGATCCTCATTATGAGGGAAGCATCTGGGGCTTAGGGAATCTCTCCATTGTCTGCAACACAAGCCGGCGAGTCCTGACCCAGCCTTGGCCCCGCCAGTCCCAGGCAGGCCCTCTCCAGGGAGCAGAGTCCCAGCCCCTGTGGCACTCCCATCCCAGACCCAGCTGGGTTTCTCACGGAGCCCCTTCCTAACACTCCCAGGATTCTGCACCCCAAGGCACCTTCCCTAGGAAGCTCCCAGTTCAAGACTCAGAAATGCCTTCCAGGCTGACCTGGGACCAGGAAGAGGATCAGACACAGACAGGCCTAGGGAGGGCCTGACCTGCTCCCCATCTCCATCCCCAGCTTGGAGGGGCAGGGGCAGGGGAGTGGGTGGGATTCCAACAGCCCACATGTGGGAAGATGGTTTTGGGACTCCAGGGCACTCAAGCAGGAAACAAGGCAGCAAGCCCTCGGTGTGGCGGCTGGGAGGGGTCTGCAGAGGGCACTGGGCCCAGTCCCCTCCAGGCAGAGCTCTCCCCACGCTCTCCAAGAGGGCAGCCTCAGGCAGGAAGTGCCCCAGGAAGGCCTCTCAGGGACAGGAGAATGGGACAAGTCCAGGCTCCCAGGGGCAGCCCAGCTCCACCCCCAGAGGTGGGCAGGGCAGGCATCCCAGAGCACAGGGCAGGGCCAGGGTCTCTTGGGCCAGCTCAGGGACCATGACCCTCCTTTGCTGGGGCATCTGCTGTCACTTAACCACACCTCCGGCAGAAAGCAAACCCCAAACGCAGCAGTGGCTCTGAGGCAAGCGCTGGCCCTCCCGGCACCCCCTCCCTGGGGTCACACGCTTCTGCCTGCCATGAACACAACAGCTGGGGCCACAGGCATCCCACTGGTAACAGAGTTCAGAGCCTTCAAGAGGCATGGGGCCGGGAACAGACGGCTGCTGGCAGAGGACCCCCTCCCCGCAAGGAGACAGCAAACGCCTAGCAGCCTCCAGCCTCAGCAGGAAGGAGGGGAAATGTCAGCCCGGGTCTCACCATCGGGCTGGACATCTGCTCCCCAACCTGCCCTGCCTGGTGCGGGGAGGCTCCAAGTAGGCAGGGGGCTGGAGCAGAAGGAGCAGTCACACAGGTGTAGACAGGACAGGCAGGAGACGCTGAGGGCTCCCAGGGCACCGGGCTCCGTGTCCTCCCGGCTGGGCCGAGCCCACAGGGCAGTGCCAGGGCTTCCTTGCATCTGGAACCCATCGGTAAAGAGAGATGTCAGTACTGCAGGTTCGAATCTTCCATATGTCATCTGACTTTTATCAAGACAAATGTGTTCAAGTCTTCAATAGGAAAGTGCAAAAGATGTACAAATAAATGAAATCTCTTCTAAGAGTCGTCTGGAAAAGGTGGCGAGGGAGCACGTCCGGCGTGGTTGTGGGGGCGACACTGTGTGGAAGAACACTTGAATTATGATGACGTGGCACTTCTGGGCTCTGGCCGCGCCGGGCTGGGCCTCGTCCTCCATGTGATGCCATGAGTCGGTTTCCCTTTTTGTCCCAAGGTGGTGCTGGCTCCTAAAAAGGTGGCAGCTTTTCTCTCCCATGGGGGTCAGGCAGGTGACCCGGCAGGCGTGGCTGCAAAAGGCAAGTAAGTGGGTCATGCAGGTAGGCGGCCAGGCTTCCAGTTACAGGGGCACCAGGGTGGCACCCACAGCCTGCAGCTGCTCCCCCCACTGCCTATCACAACCAGCTAGGACCGGGGGCTTCCCAGCCACAGGCTGTCAGGCCAGGCCATGAGCTACACCCAGAGTGCCAAGAGCACCCAGGAAGCAACAGCTGGCAGGGACAGTGAGCCAGGAAGCCCCTCTGGAGCCTCTGCTGGCAAGCCATAGTTCCCACAGGGACAGACACAGCATGGTGGAGGCTGGAGGCCCCAGAGAAGGCCAGACTGAACTGGCAGTTCCTCTGAAATAAGCCCCCTCTCCTGGCCAATAACCCCCGCAAAACCCTCAGCCACCCTCCTGGTCGTGGGCAGGGAGTGAGGTGTAAGATGAGATGTGATGTCTGCCACCAGCAGGACAGCAGGGACAGGACAGGGCTCCAGGCCGGGGCAGCAGTCCTCTGACTTCCACCGGGAACACGTGTGAAACGGGAGCACACGTGCACACAGGAGCTCACCCAAGTCCACCGACCCCTTCATGTCCTGCCACTCCAGCCTCCCAGCGGACAGACACACTGGCCACAAGGTGGTCCCAGGGCCAAGAGGGCAGGGTAGAGGGGCTCCAGACAGGAGGGTGGCTCCCAAGGCCACCAGAGGCAGTAAAGTCTCCAGGACTTAGGGAGAGGAGTCAAGGACAGGGTGGGGCTGACTGTGGCCAGGCCTGACTGGCCAGCAGTGGGGTGGCGGGAGGAACAGCGGGCCCGGCAGCCCTCACCTCAGCTGGAAATGAGCGCTGCGGCACAGGGAAGTCTCGGGGACGGCTAGATATCTGTCAGAAAGAGAGGGGAGCCGGGCTTGCCTGGCGTCGGCGGCAGCAGGCAGGCCGGGCCCGGCGGGCACCCGTGTGCATGCTGCCCGGAGCGGACGGGCACCTACCGGTCACATAGGGCCCCAGGGGCATCTGGTTGTAGTTGACAATCCCTCCCGGTCCAGGGCCCCGGAAGTTGGGCCCAAAGTTGTTGCTGTACATCTGGGAGGAGCCGAAAGCGCCCTGGAGGCAAGGACTCAGCTTCACAGGTGGCCTCAGGCCCCCCACCCAGCCTCCACCCAGGGGCACGCCAGGGGGTTCGGGCCGGGGTGCACAGGCCGAACCTGACCTGCTGGATGGTGGGGTCCCCGGCACGGTTGGTCAGGCGGCTCAGGATGCTGCGCTCTGACATCTGTAGGCGGGCTGCCACAGGGGGGATTCGGGACAGCATGGATGGCAGCCGGGTCACATCAGCCTTCATGTCACTCAGCAGCTCCTCCAGCTGGTTCAGGACTGTGGCAGGAGGCAGAGGGATGGCAGGATGGAGGGGTGAAGGGGTGGAGGGGTGGAGGGGTGGAAGGGTGGAAGGGTGGAGGGGTGGAGGGATGGAAGGAAGGATGGAGGGATGGAGGG